ACTTGTATGTGAAAGGTTTCAAAACAACTCTCCCAATCTGCCCCCCCTCCCCGCCCCAACGTTTTTGTTAACCTCATATCAACTAATACCTGTGTTATTTAAATTAATACCAATTTTTCCTTTACTATAAAGAGAACAAATTGAGAGCCTCCACCTATTAGTGCATGGGCAATGGCTAAACAGCATAAATGGTCTACTAAACTTTTCCCTTGCACTTATTTGGGGAGAGGGGAGAAGAGGAGCCCCTCTCTGATCTAATACATAAATGGCAAAACACCCCCCACTTCAGGCACAGTTCCTACTTTACGTGTCAGCAGGCATGAGAGCTGGTGTTGAACACATTGTCCTGAAAAAAAACCAAACAAACCAACCTTTGCATGTATTGAACCTTTCTTTCCTTTTTTCAGTTCTGGGAGGTGATAAGTGATGAACATGGAATTGACATCGCTGGAAACTACCATGGGAATGCGTCACTGCAGCTTGAGCGAATTAACGTGTACTTCAATGAGGCTTACTGTAAGTGCTCAGCACTGATAGGGTGTTGGCATGGCAATTAGCAGAGCCAACATGAAGATTATAGTAAGTAATTAAAAGAAAAAATATCCCAAATCCTATAGGTGGGCTGGATTTTTCAGAGTAGATTATAAGCCTGTCTCTTTGACTTCTAATAATAATTCTTTGCATTTATTTTCTTTTGTCCTAGCCCATAAATACGTGCCCCGTTCTATCTTGGTGGACCTGGAACCTGGTACGATGGACAGTGTACGGTCTAGCAAAATAGGCCCACTCTTTCGACCTGACAATTTTATTCATGGTATGTACAGCTTGCTGTCAGCACACTAACTAGAGTCAACTGTCCTAAAGCGGCCTTTTAACTCTCATCTTCATAGCCTTTCAAAATTTTCTTAACTTTGTGGCTGTTATTTCTGTAATTCTGTTTACAGGTAATTCAGGTGCTGGAAACAACTGGGCTAAGGGCCATTACACAGAAGGTGCTGAACTGATTGAAAACGTCATGGATGTGGTCCGCACCACACTACACCGAGGCGTCTCTCCCAGTTCCCCCTGGCAGGAACTGTGTGGGGAAGGTCTCAGCTCCGCCTCCAGGTGTGGCCCGCTGGGACCTGCCTCGGGGGCCCAGAAAAGCGGGAGTGCGCTGATCGTCCGTGATTCAGAGCCGGTAATTTGCCAGAAACACACTACGCGTCAGTTAACTAAAGAATAGAAATTAAGGCCTGACTCTTCTACGAGGCTAGTGGCTACTTATATAGCACTTAGGTTAGTTACATCTTAATTCATTGCTAAGTAGTCCTGTTGTAAGCTAGGAATCCAAGCAGATGTTTAAAAGCAAGTTTTCTTCCAGCTAATTCATTGCCCCTCTATGCCATCGGTTCTTAGCTTTTTCTAGATAAGACTGCAAAGAAGAAAATGGTTTAGGAGCAGTGGAACCTATGATTTTTGTAAACAGACTGTCTTAAGTTTGGAGGTTTGATCCATGTGTGGCCAAACTGTGCAATATTCAGTCTTATCCCATCAGGCATGGTGTTTCAGCAAGGGAATCTTTTGGATGTAAAACCATTTATGCACACACCTGAAATTATATTCAGTCATTTGCACTAAACAAATACATAACAGACAACATAGCAAACTAGGAGCTATCATAGTCTGTCAACACTTAATGGAAAAATAGACAATTTTCCATATAAAATAAGCAAAATGTTCTGAGAAGACTTCAATTATGTTTGATAAGGAAACAATTTGGTCCTAATATAATGTTCATTTAAATAATTAGGACTAAGGATTTAAGGAGATTATGGATTGGGTTTTTATTAAATCCTTACATTTAAGTATGTATACTTCTTTTTGCTATTTCTTCCACCCAGAGCCAAACTACATCAAAAAATACATATGAATCCTCCAGCAGCTGTGCAGGTCTTGAGGAAATGCTGGTGACTTTGGTCCTTTTTGCATAGAGGCTTTGTGTCAAATACTTTGCACAAGTCCAGGTAGATGGCATCAGTTGCTCTTCTCTTACCCACTGACACTGTAACCCCGTTGTGGAAGGCCACCAGTTTGTCAGGCAGGATTTACCCCCGATGAAGCCATGTTGGCTGTCACCAGTCACCTCCTTATTTTCCATGTGCCCCAGCAGTTTCCAGGAGGATTTGCTCCATGATCTTGCCAGGCACAGAGGTGAGGCTGACTGGCCTGTAGTTCCTCGGGTTTTCCTTTTCTCCCTTTTTCAAAATGGGGGTTATGTTTCCCCTTTTCCAGTCAGTGGGAACTTCACTGGACTGCCACGACTTCCCAAATATGATGGATGGTGGCTGAGCCCCTTCATCCACCAGTTCCCTCAGGACACGCAGATGCATCTCATCAGTCCCATGGACCTGTGAACTGTCAGGTTCCCTGGATGGTCTCAAACCTGATCTGCTCCTACAGTGGGGGGTTCTTCCTCCTCTCAGTCCCTGCCTTTGCCTTCTGCATCTTGGCTGGTGTGGCTGGAGCACTTGCTGGTGAAGACCGAGGCAAAAAAGTAATTGAGTACCTCAGTCTTCTCCAGATCCCGGGTAACCAGGTCTCCTGTTTCCTTCTGGAGAGGGCCCACATTCTCCATAGTCTTCCTTTTATCACTGATGTACCTTGTTTTACTTGTTGCCCTTGATATCCCTCGCCAGATTTAATTCTATCAGGGCTTTGGCCTTCCTAACCTGATTTCTGGCTGCTGTCCTTGCTTCCACCCTCTGTAGTCTTCTTTTATTGTGTGTTTGAGCTTCGCCATAGCTCCCTGTTCATCCATCCATTTTTGAAAGTGGACACTTTAGGCTGCTACATTACTCTAGTTCTGTCCATTTGGACTCATGATTTGTGATTTTTTTTTATACTGCTAAACAACTTTTCTCCTACTGAATTCGGGATTCATTTCTAAAATCTATGTATTACAATCTTTCCTACATAACTTCAAGAAAATAAGAAGCATAAATGAGACCGAAAATAATTCTTATTTCATGCATTTATTTCCTTATTTATTTTTTGTGTGAGCCCTTTTTATCCTAATTTTGGGACAGACATGGCATATTAGAGCAAAGCTTTCCAACTTGCAGAAATTAAATCAGTTAAAAAATGCTTGTTTATGATGACAGTGCTTTTAACACAGAAAGGGTACCAGTGGTATGATATTGAAACAAAACATACCTGTTTTCTAAAACCCAACTACACCAATGATATCAGAAAGATACAAGAAAGCACCAAAGATTTAAGGAAGCCTCTCTCTGCTACTTATAGAACATATTTGATGCAACACAACTGCACTACTTACATATATTGATAAAGGGGATATAACATACAAATGCTGTTTTAATAGTATCTTCTGATGATTTGATAGGTAACATAGTTATCAAGATGATTATTTTAAGCCTCATGGGTAGCCCAGGACACAAATATGGCTTGGTAGAAAAAAAGTCATGCTAGCAAAGTTGGACATATTTCTTCCAGCTATGTGTCCCTCTATCCTTCTATTCCTGCCCCACACCTTCTCTGATTCCTCTCCCTACCCCTGTCTCCCAACTGCTATTTTTTCCCCAGTTTTCTCTCTGTACCTCCACATGAAGTGCCTCTGCCTGCAATTCTGTGCAATGCACTCAGATTTAAATCCATAATGGAGATACACAATTATTTGCATGTTTAGCTCTTATTTAGTATTTGTTGATCTTGATAGATAAAAATTCAGCATTAATTAGGAAAATTAAACTTTTGGGAGAGGTACCACACTGAGACAGAATGGAAATTAGATTAGTGACAGAAATTGTGCTCTACAAAAATTCCAGAATATATATTGATCTTTAGGCAGCTGTAAACAAGGCACCATTATAGATTTGTGCAACCTGTTTTGATGCCCAGTTTTGTTTAGATGCCGGGATATATTTGTAAAGCCCTAGACTTTCCTCAGATAAGAACATTCAGAAAGAGGATTTAGGAAAGAGCATATAAAGGAGGAAAGTTTAGAAAGATATAGAGGGGTAGTAGAGAAAAGGAGGGATGTGTTGAGGGTTAGATGCGGAGGTAAAGAGAAGCTGAAGTGTTGCAATTAGCAACATCCAGAAATGTGAGAGTGGATAGGTCTGGGGGAACTCAAAATGTGAGATTAGAACTGTCCAAAGCAACTGAGGAAGTGAGGAAAGAAGCATCCTGAAAGGTGAGATTGGAGACATCCAGAAAGGGTGTAGAGATGAGATTAGAAACATCCTCAGAGGTCGATAAGGATAATTTAGAGGAGCCCTGAAACATGAAAAAATCAGTAAAATCTAGTGATTCTGAAGAGGTTGAGGAGGTGTGGTCTGAGACACCTAGTGTGGATGGAGGGACTGTACAGGAAAAGACCAAGGAAGCTGAGGAAGTGTGACTGGAAACATCTAGAGAGGATGAAGAAGTGAGACTAGAAAGGTCTAGAGAGGGTGAAGAAGTAGGACTGGAGAAATCTGGGGAGGGTATAGAGGTGAGACTTGAGAGATCCAAGGAGATTGAAGAACTGTCGCCAGAGAGATCCAGAGAGCTTGATGAAGTGACACTTGATAGGTCCAGTGAAATTGAAGAGGTGAAGCTGGAGCGCTCCCAGGAGTCTGAATAGGTGGGACTGGAGAGCTCTGAGGAGGTACTGGAGAAGTCTGAAGGGGCTGAAGGTGTGAGACTTGAAAGGTCCAGAGAAGATGAAGAAGTGAGACTGGAGGAGTCCACAGAGGACAAACTGCTCAGACTGGATAAATCCAAAGGATCTGAAAAGGGGATTTTAAAGAGTTCCAAGGAGGCTGAAGTCTTGACACTGGAGGGGTCCAGGGAGGCCACAAAAGTGAGACCAAGTAGGTCCAGGTAGATTGAAGAGATGACACTGAAAAGCCAAATAAATCAACAACCTGACTGGTCTTAAATCAGAAGTACCTTAAACTAAAGATATCTGATAACATGCCAAAACAAAAAGACATAATGAACCCAAATAATATTACTTCTGAAACTAAGCATAGAGTTTTAATCTTTATGTCTCTTAGTGGTTTATCTTTTGGTGCAGAAAAATAGTAATAGGAGCTAGTAAATATAATCAAATAAAAAATAGTAATGAGAGCTCACAGACTTATTTAGAATATTGCTCCTTTACTGAGGGCCAGTACAGAAGTACAAGTACAGATTAATACATACAGTAGCAGACATTCTTCTGTCCTGGCATGTCTCCAGATTTTAGCATCTATGATAGTCTGACAAAAAATACCCTCTTGTCAAATGCCATCTCCCTGTCCTGAAGGTCTGGAATAAAATAATAGTTATGTAATAGAATGGAAATTAGGATTTTTTTGTGGTTCTTTTCCAGATACCATAGGATATTTAGATACCAGGCTGCTTGCTGGTTATAGAGAGAGATTTAAAAAAAAATACATAGTTGCAAATGGCAACAAGTCAAACTGGGCCTCTGACTGTAAAGGTGAGGGATTATTTCCATTTGATCCATAACATCTAACTAAAAAATGTGGATCTTCCTGGTGATGCTAACAAAAATGGCAAAGAAAATAGTATTTTTCTTTGCAGCGTGTGCAGAATTTATTTTTGGAAGCTACCAGTATGTTAAACTGGTTGTGTGACTAAGAAGTGAACATGTCAGCAACATCAGTTCTACTAGTTTTTCAGAATAAAAGACATCTTATTTCTTATACTTTGTACCCCTGGACATAAAACCTGTACTGTAATAACAGTAATCTTAAAATCTCTGGTTAGTTTGAATTGTTTAGTTAAAATATCCTAAAGAGAAGTTCTGATAGAAGGCAGACATCTAATTAAAAAGGGAACAGAACATCTTATATTTCAGTTCATAAAGGTGCATCTCATTATAGTATGAGATCTACAGCAGCCTTCTCTTGACTCAAGACTGTGCTGTAAAGCAAAGAGTAGTTGAAACCTGCTGTTGTCTTTCCAGACACAGGCACAGGAATGCACGTAAAGTTTTTTAGAGAGCCATCAAAAAAGCATTTTATGGACCAAGAAAGTGAAAGATACACACTTACAGGAGGCTGCAGCTTCTCAGGTCAATACACCTAAGCTTTGCCCATCTTATTACACAGCTGACGTCCAGGTGAGTGTATAACGGATTTAACATAATCACCATGGGGGGAACTCCCACTGAGGTCACCTCTTAACTGAAGGAGGTGTCTGCTGAACATGGACTGAGGTTGACAGGAATGATATCTTATTATTCAAATATCAAAATCGTGGGGATTTAGCACAACACAAAAATTACCAGACTAAAAAAAGAGTTGCTTATGTACCAATTATGAGAGGTCTTGAATACACTTAATATTTATTCATAATGCATCTGTAATTTTAGAGTTCATGCAACATGGTTGTAATTCTACCATGAGCACAATGTTTAAAGATCAAAAGGCAAAACGAATGAATTTTTCTTAACATGCATAATTTGTGATGAAATTACAAGTTTGCTCGCTGCCCTATATTCTTAATAAAACAATAAAAATAATTAACACCTTTAAAAAATCCCTTTGTAACTAACACTACTATCATTTTGTGACTGTCTATCTTTAATCTTAAAAGTTTCTCAAGTGCATTGTACAGGGGAGAACAAATAATTATGCAAAAGGCAAATTACAATACAATAAAAAGCCAGTATCAATATGATTTCCAACACACTATAAATTCCATCGTCTCCTCACTGTGTTCCTTCCGCTATAATTTAAGATGGCAAAGTTATTGCACATTTTTCTAGGAAATAACACTGTCAAGAAACATGGAATTATGGTCACTATTGTATAAAATGTGCAGGTCAGTAATAAAGCTTCCTACCTTTGATAGCTATGGATTTATCTCCTTTCTCTGCCTGTATAAGCCATACTGGGCTGTGCTGGTAAAGCTCTGCTCTTCTCTTTGCTGATGACCCTAATCTGTTCCACAGCTACTGGAAATCATGCCATACTGTTAACAATACGGCTTATCTCCTATTAAATCTCCTCTTGTCTAAGTACAGCACTCTGCACAGAGCACCAGCAGAAAACATACTCCAAAATCAACTCTAATCTTAAGATAAAGTTGCAGTTATGTGCTGTTTCTTATCACAGGACATCATTTTGAAGGTTAGTTGATGAAGCAGATGAAGACATTAATTTTTAACTTTTGGACACCTGGATTCAAAGTAAAAATAATTTTGCGGTGTCATCCAAGTTCACAGCTGTCCATTCTACAAAATCTGGCATAAACAGTCTCTGGAGAGACCCGGGATCTGCAGAACAGGATTCAGGTACACTCAGGTTTTAAGAATCTTGTGTGTTACTTCCTATTTTAATATGTTTAATAACTTTTGTAGCTATGTTACTTTTTAAATGATATAACAACAAAATAACATGATAATGTAAAACATTCTGTCCACAGTTGATGATAATATTGAATAAGAGTTTTAAAAACACCTAGGTGACATAAATGGCTGGAGCCTGTTTTCAGAAATTTTTAAGTCTCATATGTGCTTGCCCTTCTTTGAAAGGCAAGGGAGACTCAGTATCCTAGGTAAGAGCGAGCCATTACTGTGTCTTTCTTTGTGGCTAGGGAAATACTGTCTGTGCAGCAGCACTCTGCTTCCATTTGTTCTGTCTACTCTTTCACAAGAAAAGCAGAGAAATCGCATAGCTTTCTGCATGTCCCTCAAAACTGGCAATTATAAATAAAGAAAATAAAACTAGGTTACGTGCTTCCAGTACTTCAGATAGATCATTCGGAATATGACACAACTACAAAATATAAATTAATTCCAGGTAGGGGTTCTGATACACATTTCCTTACTCCCAATTTCACAACATACCTACTAGATTTTGCTGCAGCTGCTGTATGTAAAAGTTTAAGTCTAGATAAACCAAAGCAGTTATCTCACAGGTAAATAATATCTGCATAGTCTCCAAAAACCTGTTAACAAGGACTCACCCAAATGATGCTATTTGTCATATTATTGAACAGATTTCTTACCAGGGTATCTGCAAAGTTGACCAGGCTCCAGGAATAATAACACCTGATTAGGAAAATATTTACTACATATGTCATTAATTTTATTATATTCTAGCTGATATATTCAGCTGGATAATATATACACATTATTTAGCTGATACTATTTTTTTAGCTCAGCGCTTTTAAACTTTTTGATTAAAAGACTGTCAAACCTTGCTGGAGAAAAAGAAAATGTAAAAAAGCCATCTTGTGCTGAGCTTGTGATACATATGTCTGAGATGAAAGACTAACTAACAATGTTACTGTTTTACAAAACTGTAATTTTTAATTTTTACTCTTGTAATAACATACATAATAACATACAGAATCAAATACTCTTCCTAGTAGATGCAGTATGAAATTATTGTAGACATTGCAGAGGCAATACAATTTCAGCCCACCCACTAGCTTCCTATAGATAAGGAGATCCTCAATTTCTTCTCTTGCAGCATGTCTCACCTTGCTGCTGGCTGCCTAAAGATTGTATCACTACTCATATTCATGTTTTTTTTGGCTCAACAAGTTGACTTGGCTCAACAAAGGCTGTGAAGACCACTATCTTCAGTGCAAGGCAAGAAGCAGGACACTACAGCCAGGAACAAGAAGGCAGGCAGACACAGGACTGTTTCCTATCATTGAAGGTAAGCAATCAGCTTAGCTGTAACATGTACCCTCCTCACCTTTAGAACTATTCATTCTATGGCAATATATAAAGCAAAGCTATCAAATTATTTGAGAAAGAAATGAACAGGTCCTGTGCAAATGAAATAACATCCTTCATGAGAAATGGAAGGATTCTCAAACAACTCTGCTTTCACAGAAGCTCTCTTTATTGGCACTCTACAGTTCTTCTATAAATGTGAACCTCAACGGGACACTGATCTTTCCTTTGAACCAACTGTCAATGCCAGGGAGCTTTGAAAGGCTGCAGTTAACTAGGCAATAGGTGCTTAGGTTTACTGTGTATGACATTTATTGGAAATATGCTAGACTGTACAGCTCAACTGCCAAGTATAGACCACGACAGATCAGGAAATGGTGGTTAAAGTTTTTTCTGTTTTTTCCAAAACAAACAACTAGTTTACATTTATAGTCAACTGCTGTATGACTGAACAGGTACAGATGCTCACTGTCAGCAAGAAGAAATACTTCTCAGATAAGCCTTTAAAAAAAGTACTTAATTTCTCTTGATGACTGAAGAAAGTGGTATTATTTTAGTGTTCTTACAGACACAGGTTGTTTCAGTATCACAGTAAATTTAGGACATGAGAGTAGCAGGCAATTAGCAAGATGCACAAACACAAGACTTTAACAAGTTTGTAGTGCAGATGGGTACATGGAAGCTAGACAACTACACACCATGGAAAAAAACTATAACTCTATAGATCTGTTCCTTAGAATGCCCTGCAATTAATGTAAAACAAGTTAATCCATTATACTTTGGCTTTAGCCATCCCAAGCCTGTTTAAATCAAGAAGTGAAGGACAAAGTCACTAATTTACAGTAAAAAAAAAAAATCTTTACTATGTTAACACCAAAATCCCACCACTGGTATGACCAATTCTTATATCAAACCTGAGGAAAAGTAACTTCTGCATTCCTTGTTTCAACTTTTAGATACAATTCAGGGCTGCTTCCCTAATTTCATTCAGAATCTTTCCATAGGCATATTGCTATGTCCATACAGATACGTGAGAATTCAAGAGCACTGTGTTACCGGTAGAACCAGCAGATGATGCCAGGTGTTCAGTCTCAACAGAAAAGGGCATCAAGCTTGCCAAGGCCTCAGACTTCCAGCTACTGCAATTTAAACTTCTGGTTTTAAATTAACTGTAATACCATTTCTAGATGCAACTTGCTTTAGAAGGATGGAGACTTATAGCATGTCCCTCCTCCTGAGAGAAATCCTTAGTAGCTGTGTTGGGAGTACTTAAGGGTCACAGGAACACGAGAAAGTAATCCAAAATAATGAAGACAATGAAGAGCAAGGAAACCTAATAATTTATTACTGAAAACCCTCAGAAGGCAAGCAGTGAGAACAAAAGATTTAACAGTGCCATCTTAAATATTCTCCAAACCATTGAACTTTGGATCTAGTTTACTCACATCTGTTCTGTTTCTCAGCAAAGTTATATAGGTGAGTTTGATTTAAAAGCCTAAAGCTGCAGATAAGGTAAAACATGAATTCATTTAGGCAAGCTGAAGCAGGCAGGGATCCACCAGAGAGCACAGTGATTTTTTCACATCACATTCCTCCACCTCTGCCCCTTCCACTCCCTTCCCTCCAACCCCCTGGCCTTACCC